GCACTTACTCAAATGAAACCCTTCAAAAAAAAAAAAAATATATATATATATAAATTTATAAATAAATTTTGTCGTGTAGCTGCCGACATAAAATGACAAATTTAAATATAATATATCACAAATTTATTTTCTCACAAAAAATGTGTCTCAAATTTCAAATTTTCCCATAATTTGTTAATTAAATATAGGGAGATGCTACTACAGTCATGTTATGGAACTATTCCGTCGGAGTTCGTAACCGTTGGATCAGTTATTTCTAACGATTACATAATGATCTAACGATTATAAACTTCGAACAGAATAGTGTCGTAACGAGACGAATAGTGTCGTAACGAGACAAATAGTATTTTCCTCAAATATAATATAGTGTAGGGATTAGATGGTGACTAGGAACTTATCTTCTTATAAAGTAAGCCAAATTAATTTCCATGAACTGAAAATTTTGAAATATTCAATTCAAACCATATGTCAAGGATAATGTCGGACAAATCCAAGGATAAGGCACAAAAAAAGTAAAGCCTAATACATGTATACTTTATCCAATTAATGCTCGTTTCCGGGTGGACCCGTCGATTCGGCACACGTGTCATCCACTCATCCACTCATGTTTTTTTTTTTTTATATTAACAAAAAAACTTTATTTTATTTCAATTAATTAATTTTTCATTTCATTTTCTGCAATGCCCTCATTATATAAATGTATCCTTTAGGTTGAACCCAAGAAATTTATGTCTGTTCATTTTATTTGTATTTTGAAATATATATATAGGATAATTTCTTGATTTCATTTTGTTATTACATTACAAATCAATAATTATGGGAGAATTGAAGCTTCATGGTTTCACCATGAACATTATTATTGATCACGATGAAAAATGTTCACCGTCATCATCGTTGTCGTCGTCGTCGATTTCATCTATTGGGCAAGAATCGACGGTCTCAAATGGGTCGTCGATATCCTCGTCTGATGTGGCCGACGATGCATCATCGTCTTTCTGTTCGAATTCGAGCCGAGCTTTATATGACCTCTCAGAAATAATGGAAGAATTGCCTATCAAGTAAGTTGAAAATCTTGATTTTATCATAACTTTACTTCTCATTTTTCACTAGCCCTTTTGATAATTTCTTGGAAAAAAAAAAAAACCATCTTTTGTGAGTTAAAATTGGGAACTCAATTTGTGTTAATATTTGCAGAAGAGGGCTATCAAAATTTTACAAGGGGAAATCAGAGTCTTTCACATCACTTTCAAGGGTGACAAGCATTGAGGATTTGGCTAAGAAAGCAACTCCATATAGAAGGAATTTGAAGGCTTCTAAGAGCATTGGGACTGGTTTGCATAGCTGCAAGTCTTTTACTCTACCTAAGCCCATCATCACAAAAAGGCCCATAAGTGGTTGTTCACCATTGTATATTAAAAGTGGGAGTTTTATGCAAAGCAAGCTCAATTAAAGTGTTCTAAAAGTCGGTAGGCGCTCGATTGAAGATTATCTGTTTGTTTTTCTGTCGACTTGTGCAAATCAGAGGCGCTCGGGCACCGCCTAGGCTGATTTTTTTAGAACGGTGAGAGAGAGAGAGAGGGAGAGAGATGTATATAGCAAATTTGTGGGTTTTTTTGTCGACTTGTGCAAATCAATGTAGATATTGAAAAAGTGAGAATCCCTTGTTTATGGGTAAAAAGGGCATCTTCTATTGAGCTTCTAGTCAAATTGTAGATATTTGTGGGATCCTTTTTTACCAATTTTGGGGAACAAAGGTCATAGAATAGTCCAATAACTAATGATCCTCAACTTTTATAAACAACTAACCTGAAAACTTTTAATTTAGGTAGAGTTTATCTAACTCTTATGTATGTAAAAAAGAAAAGCAATAACTTCTCTTATCTAAAATGTGGATAGTTCGCTTGCTATTTTCTAAACGACATCGTTTGATTAGCTTGATTAAAGAGTTTGGGTTCTTTTGGCTATAATGAATACTAGCCCTATAATTTATCATTCAATCTCATATTAATTTATATCATTCATCATGTTTCAATGTAAAAGTAATGTTCTCCCCTAGTCTTAGAGCGAGTTTGTTAATCGGAACATGATTGGATTATGCCTTCAATCCACCAATTATCGCGTGATGCACAATAGAAAAATTGTGGTTTTCCAGGACAATTTGATCCGTCCGCTTGCTGACGTAAGATACGTTGTGTCTGCATAGTAAAAAAGTTATGAGGTTACAAAATTGTCCTAAAGAACCTCTCCTGCCTAAGCGCCTCCAACCGTCGTTTATCTCATTCTGCCTGTACGGACAATCGTCGCCCCACAACCCGCCACATTCGCGCTTTTTCGGCACTTCTCGCTCGCTCTCTACCTCATATCCCTCTCCGCCTCCTTTCCCTCCCAACAACCTCATATATGCCCCTTCCCATCCTCCGCCCACCACCAACCACGTAGTACATACACGTGCTGTCCAATTCCTTTCTCTCCTCCTTCTCCCGAACCTTTCACCGGTTGTTGTGCTACCTCCCAATTGCTAAGTGGGGAAGATATAAATAAAAATAAAAAAATAAAAAAGCTGCTAGAAGGTAGGTAACAACTTTTTACTGTTCGAACTCTGCATGATCTTACTTCTTTCCGATAACAATTATTATATAGAAAGGATGAAAAAAAATACAAATTTCTACTTTTTGTTTCGAGTAGAAGTTTAGAAGAGGAAAATTTAATTTTTTAGAGGATAAATTGATAAATGTACTACTATTTATCCTATCATTTGTCTAAGGCAACAAATGCATGATACATTATATCCACAAAATATTATCATGCATCATACACGACAAGTAAAAATTACATCATATCATTACAAATTACAATGCAAATTTTGGTAGACATCATACACAACAAGTAAAAATTACATCATATCATTACAAATTACAATGCAAATTTTGGTAGACATGATAAAAATTATCTCCATCATAACAAATGTGCCCTTAGAAGATAAGAGTGATATATTATATAAAGGGGAATGCTATGGTCCGTTACGGTATCATCCCGTTGGATGTTTTAACTGTTAGATACACATGTAGTTAGTATAAAATAAATGATCTAATAGTTAAAACACCCGACGAGATGCTACCTTAACGAGACCATATCATTTACATAATATAAGATAGAGAGAGATACACGTTAAAATAGATAAATTTTGTCAGTAAATTGAAGTTTTATATGCAATTAACATTTTTAAACTAGAGTGGTGCTATATGTACAATCAAAATTGTACAATGAGTTTTACAATGAGGATATATCATGATAAATTCA